TCAGTGTGAGGTGTTGGAAGCCAAACTAGCTTTTCATTTGGGGGACCTCAGTGTATTATCTGGGGATCTTTATTCGAGACATTTCAGTTTCTTCTTAGAAGGATCTCCCAATTTTCTGCCTGGAAAGTAAAAACATGGCCACTTGCTTTCTAAAAGCAGAGTTAGCGAAGAAAGTTGGAGTTCCATTTTTGGTATACAGTTTTCTCTATATCTCAGGTTTAAGTCATGGTATCTCTGAGCCAGAAATTCTCAGGTTTGATATATCCAGAGAACACACATCTAAGTTTCTTGTCAGATGGAAAGACAGGTGGACCCAGGGCTCTGGTTAGAGATTTTCAACTGACCTTGCTGGCTTTTGTTTTACATCTTACCCTACTTTCCAAAGTGCCATTTGCCTGTAAGTTCACAGCCTGCCTTTAGTTTTGCAAGACAAACTGGCTCACTTCTGTTCCAGTCACTTTCTGTAAGCACCAAAGTTGCACTTCCGTGTTATTTACCACTCTTTTATCTACTTTTTATGTCTCAGCATTTATTAAAAATTATCTCTGTCAACCTTCTCTCCTGGTCATGTGTTAACCTTTATTTTATGGTTAATGAGACTTGCGGAGGGAGGGGAAATAAATTTGTGGTCAACTGATTATATTTAATCCAAATTTAGGACCTATGCTTAAATCAAAGTCTAATTTGAGTATAATTAATGATATTAATCCAGAGAAGTTTTAAAATTAATGTATGTATAATAAGCATATTACATTTTTCTCCTAAGGCCTTGTTTAATATTTTCATTCAAACTTTATCCACTGCCATATACTTCCCTTTACTTCACAACAGAGATGGAGCTGTTTTTGTGAAGGCCCAAAGTGTTAGAAATATTTAAGTTAATTAAGATTTGTTCATTTTTAGCCTGGTCAACATAACAAGACCTCACGTCTACACAAAGGTTAAATAACAAATTAGCCAGGCCTGTTGGCATGTGCCTTTCGTTTTGCCTACTTAGGAGGCTGAGGCAGAGGATCGCTTGAGCTCAGGAGTTTGAGGCTGCAGTTAACTGTAATTGCACCACTGCACTCCAGCCTGGGCAACAAAGGGA